CATTAAGCCTACCTAGCTGATTACTTACGCGTGTGGTCACAGCTGCACTACAACATTTACTGTGATGGTTATTCATAGTACCGGCATATTATGTGTTTGTCCCACATAGCGGCTCAGAGCATCATTCAGTGTTGATGCAAACAAACCTAGTTCTGAATACATTTTCGTTCATTAAACTAGCCATCAGTTTTGCATAGAATTCATTGACGCGCTAAAACGCCTCTTTTCACATCATCTAACAGTCATGCTACCCCGTGATTGGTTGGTTTCCCCAAAAATTTAAACTATATTTGAGCTAATTTCAAGGTCACTAATGACCGACAGTTTACAAACAGACGAACTACCCACGACAAAGTGCCTTTCAGTCGAGTGAAATGCGCAAGATCGCCTGAAAGGTCTGTCTTTCTTCCTTCCTTCTTCTTCTACTGCTGTTCGGTTTGGGCCTCGAATCGTATGCTGTTTTTGGTGTAATCACGTGTATCTCGTTTCGGTCACTGGGTTGTTCCGTTCTCCTACGGCACGGCACGGCTGTCGTCCAACTAGTTCGTCATTCGAATTTCGCTGGTTATATAAATTTGTGAAAGTTAACAAAGAGCACCGGACAATGGATTCCTCTTTGTTGGAACTCACCATCAACATGGTCATCGGTCAGGTAGCTCAGGGAGTAAGGGTAATGGATTCCGAACTGGAATGATGACAGTTCGAGTCCCACAAGAGAGACAAACGTATGCTCTTCTGGTGAGTCCGAAAACAGATGAAATAGATTTTAATCTAAATGATACTGGAACTCGGATTCGACTTGAAAGTCCACTTGTTTTGCATTGTCCAATAGTAGAACACATTTTTCGGAAACACTGCCTCGCCGTGGGCTATCAATAATGGTTCAGATACATTCCAGCATCAAGCTTCAGTGGTATCGAGCATCAGCTCAGTTTTGTGAGAATAATGAATGCCCCGGCTTGCTGATCGCCGTCAATCACAGAATGAACGTGCTGCTCCGTGACACCAAGAATCATGCGTCATATATAGTAGGAATAAACGGGAACATTTGTATCGTACGAAAGTGGATCTAGATGGCCACTATTGTAGGCGATTCGCATTGTGGCCGGTTTCACGATAGCATTTAAACACATCCGTCTGAGAGTCCTGCAAGAAATGATGGCCTCATCGCTGCAACAATGAAACCGTGTCACTTTCTGGATTCGAACGCTGTCTCTGTAAATGAACTGCCAGTATTCACACATTGTTCGTAATGTACAAATCAGACTGGCTTCCTCCGGACAACAGGATATTCTTCACGAGTCTACATCCTGTGACATCCTGTGAATGTAGCCAATCTTGTCTTAGGGAAGAACCTGAATCGACAGTGGGATCGCAGATGGAAGTGATCACAAGGCATGTCGCGTCGATTGATACTCACGTTTATACTTCACTAGTTAGAACACTGTCTCCGGAGCATCAAAACGTTGCGGATGAATCAGTGCTCTTTCATTATCCTCATAATCGTGCAGCGAAATACAGTAACGCGAAATTCACTGAACGCTACCAGACGCGCAATGCATACAAAGTTACTTGTAATATTTAAGTTACACAGGGATTTAACCTATGTTGAGGAACGGGGGGAAGGTGAACCTCTATGGTAAATACAGAGTACACAATCGAACTCTGCATGCATATTGTTTCAAGCATTTTGGCTGTATAAAAAATGGCAAGAACACCATAACCTTTAATGCCTCCAACCAACCAGTTGCGGAGTCTTTCTGATTAAAACCTGGAAGATGAAAAATACCTAATCTACCTAAAGGCTCTGGGCATTTCTTCATTCCTCGTCTCCAAGTGATTTGCTAACTTCCACAGTTTCCTTTAGCCCGGAGCGGCTACAGCGAACAAAGCGCAGAGCGACAGACCACAGTTGGACACGCAATACGTGCCTGCAATACGAAGCCTGCCAAGTATAATTTCGATGCCCTAGCAAGTTTATCCCTGAAACCCTCAAAAACTCTCTCTCTCCAAATTAATGACTCATTCGCTTCATCCCACGAGGACGCAAACACCGATAATTAAAAAACTTCTAGTCGGTGGATATCTTCTACTCGCGAACTCAAGGTTTCACAAACATAATGCAGAAGTGAACAAACACTAGCACACTATAAACAACTTTTCAACTTCAGTGAAGCCTCGCGTCCACGCCAAAGGTGTTTCAGTTCTGCGTACGCTGCTCGAACCTTAGAAATGTGGGCGGTTATCTCCTTTGTCTGCGGTCTGTGTTCTTGAATTACTCTGAAACAAGGTAACCGACTCATGGGTTATGGCTGCAAACAAATCATCGTGCTGTCCACAGAACCCCAGTCGTCAGGAGATACCAAGTCCTACTTCTCAAGAAGTTTACTCGAGAGAGTCACACCGCTAATAACTACAATAGCATGATCACATAACTGCTCTTGTATGAGTGTTTGCTTAGCAATGGTAAAAAGCTTCGAAACGGTGTCGATTCAAAAAGAACCCGGTAAATGAATTTAATTCTTTCTGCAGCTTGGAAATCGGTAGGAGTCATTGGTTCAACGTTTGATCGATTTGTGACAAAAAGTGAGAATCTTCAAAAATGAATAAGTTCCCTGTGCATAAACCGTGAGCACTAATGTGGACTATTATTTTTCAGTTCCCCACGGATGTGAATGTCTATTCAGGGATTTGATTGTGTAGTTTCCTTACACCACCCCGTTGCCTTGCGGGTCAAGCTTTGGCTAGTCAAAGGCTCCGGTTGTGAACTCCCTAAGAAAATTCACTTGCCTTTGTCTGGGCAACCTAGCAATATTGCGCCCTTGAGCAAATTATGGACGATTTTCTTTATTGTCAAGATTATTGTATCGTGATTTGTTTGGCACATAGTCTGGGCTCAGACGAGTGTGAAATACAATACAATACACTATCCAATTGCCGTTGAGGTGGTGCATAAGCCAACTCTCTAACTTTCGGCCAATCGAATCGCATGTCTGGAACCCCCAGATTGGTTGGACTCCCCACGTCCTGATTGACTGTCTAGAAGCCGTATTGCAGTGCGTACGTGCGCAGTGACGTCCCATTTCGCTGCACGATCGCCATGTCAGCGCACCTCGTTCGCGATCACGAACAAAATTCCATCACGTTTGAAAGCCAGTTCGGTTCTCGAATCCTTCTGAAATCCTTGTCTCGCTCTACGCTTTGTCGTCCTGAGCCACATTGTGCTCGCCTGTGACTATATATTCCCTGTTGATTGACTGTACGGAGCATGTATCCTGCATTCGAGGACCCCACTGGGTCTGCCATGCCATTTGACAGTGTCTTACGCGAGACAATAGCTCAGAGTGGTGATTTTCCCTACCACTTTGTCACGCAAAGTGTTATCATCATTATTATATTCCACATCTGTCTGGGGCCAGACTGGGTGCCAAACAAATCATGGTACAATAATCTTTGCAAAAAAGAAAGACGTTCCACGATTTGCCAGTCATGCAAAACGTGATCAGCACTGAATATATCTAACTATCTATCGGCTTCAATCCCCCCCTCTCGCATGTGTGCGTCTGCTCAGCCAGGTCTGAATTTCCGCCGCAAAAGATCACCATCCATGGTTGTAAAAACTGAACACGAGCACCCAAGTCAATACAACGATCGCAGAAGATGGAGATGTGCACATCAGACTCCTTCTGATCCGTAAACAATTTATTTGAGAGAAAAAATGCTGTACAGTTGTGACGCAGTAGGACACGCAGTCTGGAAAGATGGCGCGAGGCTGAAGTGGCTTGAGGACGTGTTTTGATCCAGAGATAATCATTTCTTCTTTCGTTTGGTTGGCACAGGAAGCTGTATGATGCAAGATAATAAATGAGTTCCGGTTAAGTCAGGTTAAGCTAAGCTTTATGCACTGAAAACGGGTGAATTTTCACCATGATTCACACAACAAAACGGACAGGAAACCGTGGATGCAAAATGAAAACGGATACAAAGTATCCCAGGTAGTTTTGATCAGTAATTTGTTTTTGGTTTATCAATAATCATTAAAAGGTTTATTAGACTGCGCAAAAGGTGGGTAATAGTTCTATATGGGTTGGTAGGTATCTGAAGGGGGAATAAGTTTGAATCGGGATACAATTTAAAAAGCTCTTTCTGATAACAAAAAGTAGTCACAGAATACAGAAGGTTTGTTTACTACGGAGCCAATACTAGGGAACACGCAGTACACCACTGAGTCTAGACATCAAGATAGAATCCTCCTCTTGTTTTGAGCCCGGAAAATTTGTGGCGCAGTACGACCACTGGGACAGAACAACTTACGATTACAAACTGATGTAGCTAAAGAGGCTGAATATGAAGGCGAGGGTATCGTTCCGGACAATTTACCCGAATTTGAATGGACAGCAGGAACCAAAAAAATGGAGCGCTGAAATGACCTGCTGTGTTTGCGGAAGGAGGTCTGCGTTAGCCTGACATTGTTTTGGAAGTAAGCGGGAAACTGAATTGATACAGTATTAGATCATCCATTGTGATTTTGAGGGAAACTTCTATATTCCTAAACGAGAATACCCATAAAATATCATTCTAATCTATATTGTGGAAATTGTTTATATGATAAAGCAATGAATGACTTGTAAGAACCGGTTGTCAAGATGAATGACTGTGAAGCCTTCAGGAACGAGATGACGGGAAAAGGTAAATAACGTTAGATTACTGTAAAAAGGATGATGGAATGAAGACAAATCTAATACATGCATTCTGGATTTATCACATTCCACAAAATTAGTCAATATTAGTAAACTTGACGTCAGTATTGACACAGTGCGATGGAGAACAACTACTTGTTTGCGTTTCTCTTCCGAATTCCGCGATTTCTATTCGGATAAATGTTAAACTAAATTCTATGCAAATAGGGTCTGAGCATAATATATATACAAACAAATGCTCACCTTAACCCCTCCACCTCCCTCGCCCATCTTACACNAAACCAACCGCCGTACATCCCACTATTGAATCAGTTCTGACGTTCGCAGCTGAGCAAACATCTTATTTCGCCACACAGAACGCATCACCCGACGCGACCGAAAACTCAGTCCCTTAGGAATGATGGGAGAGGGATAAAACTGTAACAGGCCTGAGACCAACAGAGCTGCACATTGCTGAGCGCGTCTACAGTAGATCGTGGACCGGATGATGGTCATTAAGGCGGCTAACTGTTTTTTGTTGTTGTTCAATTGTCGTATCAGTTTGGTATGGTTCTCCAATCTATCCACAAGCTACACTGAACAGCCTGCACATGTGCACGTCTGATGCTACCTTATTTATTGTTGGTTGGCCGGATGAAATGATAGAGACTCATTCCTTCGCATATTTGACTCACGACTGGCATTTGTCGTTCATTGCCCCCGGCTAGGTATATCTCTTGATAAACATGATGCCCGCAAGGGNTCTTTATGGAACCATCCAAAGAGCCGAATCTTTCTTATTTGGGAGGAAGGAAGTAAGCAGGTTGGCTTAGCAATTTGAGCATGATTCTTGATAACCCGTCCTGTGTGGAGCTGGCGGATTATTTTAAACAAGATTACAGACAAGTGGTGATTCTCGGATCGATTCGCAGTCGCTCACTGGAAAACGAATTGACGCCCGTCATGCACAGTGGTGCTGTGGTTTAGTCGCTGTCACGGGTGTGCTTTAGGCTTTAGAGTTCAAGGTTCGAACCCTACAATCGTCACCCAACTTTGGTGGTAGGCAGTTTTGCCGTCGTCCCGTTCCATACCACGCCTAACCTAGTGGAGTCCTATATGGTTCGCTATTCTAAGTCCTTGGGCTTAGCTTACCGATTTCCATCAATGAACAGCAGGTCCTCGTGACTATGCGATTTACCCTGTCGCTGTTCATCACACTAAATTGTGTGATAAAAAACACGGGCGTGTGTGCATCTTTGATATAGTGTGTGCTGAGTGAGTCGATCATTTATCCTCTAATCAGTGCAATTTGCGGTGGTGATCGAGTAGAAAAGATGACCAAGTTATGGCCCCAGAGGAAGTCTGATTTTCAGCATTCTGTTGTATGACAGCCCTTTCATTGACTGTTCTCCTCTTCCTGAAAATAGTTTCAGTGCACACTCAACAGAAGAAGATAAAAATAAAAACGTAGGTTGACGGATTTTTTAGGTCACAACGCACAACGTATGATTGATGGTGGTTGCACCGAGACCGATTCGTGTCATGTTTTTGTGAAGGAGCGGGCACCAAAGCATACGTAAATCAATTGGTCATGAATACAGTGATTATCCGGACATGGTGGTTTGCTACAGAAGTTTGATCAAAGTTGAAGAGAAAGAGAATCGAACTATCTTCAACGTGACTCTCGATAACGGTACTGAATGGTATATAAAACATTGGTAGGCTGAAACTAACTTCAAACGGTTTTCGTGCTTTAGCTAAAGCCGATTTTTGCCGTTTTTGAGCCCCTTGACCGGTGGACAACCAAGGACGCTTTGATCCCGCTGTCTTCAATGCACGCATTGCCGTTCGTCGAGATTGTATCACCGCTCGGAGAGTTTTATCAATTTGTTCCTCTGAAGAATTGGCCATCGCATCCAGTGCATTCCGTTCGAGTGCGACAGGTGCACGTTTGAAGAGAATGCTTGTTTCTTTTGGATCGGTTGAATTTTCCGAAGCGTCGGACGCCTCACTTGAGTGATCATTGACAGAAACATCATCTGGATCATCATCATCTGCACTTTCCTCTGCTTCACTGCCACTCTCGTTTGTACTGTCATTGCTCTCGCCCTCGTCATCCTCATCAACATCGTCGTCGTCGTCATCATCATCATCATTGTCATCATCATCATCATCGTCATCATCATCCGTAGCCACACTATCGTTTTCCTGTTCAGAACTGTCAGCATTCTCTTGATCTTCGTCGATATCCTCAGGCACTTCGCTTGATTCCACTGCATCCAAATCCACAACCCCCTTGCGCGATCTTTGTGAATTGTCTGATTTGGACGCCTTGTGAGAACGAACCAAGTCAGTGAGAATTGTTGACGTTGGTTTGGTCGTCGAATCCGTAGGTTTACGCAAAAAGACATCGTGATCTGTCTCGTCTAAATCACCTAACTTTGCGAACAGATCAACTCCTTTCCTTTTTTTATTCGCCTCCAATTTCACTTCATCGTCGGCGTCCTCCTCACTGGTGTCACTGGTGTCCGTAATCGATTGAATGAGCACCTTGACCTTGTTCGAGGAGTCTGACGGAACTGGTTTATTCTCCGTTGATACGGTAGAAACTGGTAACTTGTTCTTCACATTTGATGATGCCGGAGCAACCGACTTTTCCTCTTCGGTGTTCTGCTTCTTCTCCTTCTTCT